TCGCTGCTCAACATGCCTAACCAGCCAAAACATAATAACCAGGTCAGGTGCGCAACTCGCGTTACCTGAGTGAAACCCATGACTCATAAGTATGAGTCATGTGCGAAAGTCATAACATCGTGTGACTCACAACTGTGAGTCATGAACAGGTAAACATAATAACCTATGGTTTACTAATGTACGTCATGTGAAATCCCAACATACCTATAACTCAGAAACCCGAGCTATGTGAAATCTGCCTTGCTTAGTCACAATTTGTGACAAATAAATATATTGATAAGATCTCTTCTCCAGTCACTAATAATAACTTAAAGTTAAAGATTGTTTTTTTTGTGTAACTTATTTTATTTTTGTTTAATGGTACAAAAAGGCATATGGAGTGCTAGCTATGATGCCTAAAAAATCACTTTACCTCTATTTGGGCCAAATAACAGAGCTAAAAAAACGCTCTGGGATAGAAAAAACTACTCCTACCTAAAATCCCTTCTGTCAACTGCTCCACCCAATAACCCCTACCGCTAAGTAACTACTAGTAACAAAAGCTAACGATCTAACAGTGAACTAAGAACTTGCCACAATCCTAAAAACGAAACACCTAAGGGCCGAAACTCAACTTGAAGCCAAACCTGCTGAAGGGCCCAAGAGTACTACTTGTAAGATAAATAAACTAGAAACCAAGGCCAAGACAAGGACTAAGATAAGGAGGTCAAAATCTTAGCAGCTAAGGGTATAAGAGAACCTATCCCAAAGGAGGCAACCAAGAAGGGAGGAAAGGAGATATGTGACAGATGTGCTAGCAATCATGTGTTCTCCAGGACAAGCAAAGAGTAAGGCAATAAGGTGCTAGCTTCAAGTTAAGAGAGGATAGCAGTAGGATACTAGCCAACTCAACCATAGAAAAGAGAGAGTGGAGGAGTAGACCCAAAGACCATGTATACTGACTATCGGTAATCGCATTCATGTCTGACTAGGTAGCCTCTTAGAGGAACAAGAGAATAGGGAGATCGACTATAGCCTGTTGGCTGTTCTTTCCTACTGTGAACTGTAGTCACAGCCATCTGATGATGGTAGCTGAGGGGTTGCTAACCATGCCAACAGCTAAGCAAGGCAGGAAAGGAAGGGGAGAAACATTGTGAGGACGAAGGACCCGAACCAGGGAGAGAACCAAGAGAGTCAAGAAATAAATCAAGATCTGAAGGGAGAGGGGAAGTGAGCCTACCTCCTATAGCAGAGCCTAGATGGGGAGAAATAGAGCAGATCAGTTGTACTGGACGATAAAAGCCACAATAGTAACTATGGTATTGAGTTTTTAATCACTAGAGGTGTAGCAGATGCAGAAGATAAAAACTTAAAGCTAAAAAAGCACCTCAATATTTATATTATACATCTGAGTGGTTATGGACTATATCAAATTTCTTACCAACTATGTACCTGTCATACTAACGATTCAGTATCTAAGGAGTATGAACTTTATTTAACTCTGAAAGCTAGCTACCTTACTTTCATTTCAGGTAAAGTGATCAGCTCCATCAAAGGACTTATCAATTCCTCTTTATATGAATAGCTTAAAGTACATAATAGAAATAACTAATTTGACTAATAAAGAATTTACTTACTTATCTTTAACCAATTATGAACAAGTCTTTAGATAACTTTTATTTCTGTGGGCTTAAAAGGTTATATGTTACTTATTATATCCTTAAAAGTAATGATATATAAACTTGCAAAGATTATAGCATTATAACTAACCAATTGACTAGTTTAATACTACTAAGTCTTGTCTTATAGAGTAGAGCTCCTTCTATATTATCTAGTAAAAACCCCTCAGTCAGATACCTTGTATCTCTGTAGAGAGAGTTGTATAAATACCTTATCATTTTATATAATAATATCTTACTATTATAATAACTACAGTAGGGCCTGAAGTTGAACATGTAACCCTTTGCATCTAGTTATGTGCCATACCAATTATGCTTCTATGTATAACAGAAAGTACCTCAATATTCATATTTCACATCTGAGTAGTTATAGACTACATCAAATATCTTGCTAACTATATGCTTACTATACTAACAGTTCAGTGTCTTAGAAATACAGACTCCTTTTAATCCTGTAAACTAACTACTAGTATTCTGCTCCCATCTTAGGTGGAGTGACCAGTTCTATCAAAGAACTTATTAATTTATCTTTTATATGTTGAGCTTTAGATTGTATGATTGCATAATAAAAATAACTCTTTCAACCAACTAGTAGTTTATTTACTATCCTTAATCAATTGTAAATAAGTCCCTAGATGATTCTTATTCATATGAGCTAAGAGGACCTGTATGTTACTACTTCTTATATCTTATAAGTAATAGTACATAGACTTGCTGTAGTTGTAGTACTATAATTAACAAACCAATTCAATCCAACTAAGTCATATCTTATAGAGTGAAACTTATTTTATATTACCTAGTGAAAACCTCTTAGTTGCATGCCTTGTATTTCTGTGAAGAGGGCTATGTACATGCCTTATCATTTCATGCAATAATGTCTTATTGTCATGGTAACTATGACAGGGCCCAGAGTTAAACATATAACATTATGTATTTAGTCCTATGCCATACTGATTATACTTTTACATGTAACATCTATTCTTTAACTAGAACTTTACCTCTAGAGGTAAATTTTTGAACCCTATTTTTGAAGTTATTTTTGCAAGGTCCAAGTTTACCTAAATTCATACTTTAGCTTGGTACCAAATACTCAAACTATTGTCAAACCTGTTCATCTCTAAAAACTACTACTAGTAGTTCCCCCCCCCCTCAAACTCTGAGCTTAGCCGCTTCTCGAACAGGCTATTTAGACTTCCTACCCTTGAGACCTACCGTACTTAGCCCGCTGCTCAAATCCAGGTTCGCAACTGCCTAGATACACCATATATCTATCGCCCAATTATCATCCAGGTGAGTCACATATCTGTAGAATTCGTTTGCGGATAAAATTTTACTATATTTCATGGAAAGAGAAAACATTGCAACCTCCTCGAGTACACTTCAATACCGGTTTATCTTTTGATAGAATTCTTTGTTGCCATTCGGTTCGATGTAACCCTCTGGAATGACATCCCTAGGGGTGCGAAAACTTTAGGACCTGTTTGGCGGGGACGGCAGGTGGGTCGACCTACCGTTCCACGAGGATTTTAGTTAGGGAAACGGTTGTCTTGGCATCTTTAGAACGGAAGGTAACGGTCTTATCCAACCAGGCCCTTAGGGACACCACCATAGAGTCACGCTTTGCTGTCCCATACTAAATTCTGTGAATTCTAAATCCATCTCCATCATAGCATATCTGGTACTCGCATCACCAATACACGCTGTACCGGATAGAACTCTCTGAACTGTGGTAGTCCGGTATTGCAAGGTGTGACTGTACGATCCTGGTAACCAAAGAAACACGCCCACCCGGTTTTTCCATACAAAATACCAATTTTCAATTAGCTATCAGGAGCAGCCACAACAAATCCTACTCCCTAACTCTGATGATGTGATGGAAATCCATAAGGTGCTTCAAATTATGAATTTTTCAATTTTTTATCAACAGTCCTTGATGCCAACGCAGAGACATGAAACCAGACTAGGTCATTGCTATGCAAAATCCCATATAAATTGACTGGTCCGGTATGGATTTTGACCTCCTATTCAGAACTTAGACTTTTATGCAAATCTCTGGGTTAAACCCTCTGCAAAAAAAAAAAAAGCATTATTTGCTGCTAGATAGGCGCATATTGAAATTTGTTCCGTATAGAAAACGGGGGCGTGAGTTTCTTTTGTTGCTTAGCTCGTATTCAACAACAGAGGAAAAAACCTCGCAGTGTAGATCCGTAAGGCTGGCCACAAGTGCATATCTGTATTGTTCCCCCCTGGCAATTAATTACTACTAGCGTGCTGAGTCACTTGAACATTGAGAAGCCCGGATTTGTCACCTAAACCAGCTAGTAGATGAGCTGGGACTGGTGGGGAAGTTTTTATTGTCCGGGGAGGCCCATGGGATACTGGTATCACATTCGTAGGGTGATCTCGGTTCTCTAAACCTGAAATGTCGCTAGTCGACAAAAAGTGCCACTACCTGGTACCTGGTAGACCTCGCTGCGGGCACGGGCCGGAGTACCCCTCTTCGGGAAATTGTTTCCCTCGAGAGAAAAACAAAAGAGAAATGACTGGGTACATGCACCGCCCACGGGTACTTGTATATTATTCACGTGCTTTGTGGTAAAACCTGGCACATAACCAACACAACTGGGCTTAGTCATCGCGGGAATCTGCTGCTGTGGTCTGCCGGCTTCCCCTTGTTGATAACAACAGTAGCACGGAATTGCCTCAGGGAACAATCACGAGCCAATAGAGCGCCATATTTATCAGCGTGGGCGTGTTCGTTCTGTACGAGTACTCGTACTCTACGAGATTTTACGGGTATCTCACTAAATGCTGCATCATCTGACTAATACGGCATGTACCACTACCGGTAGCGACTCTTCTGGCAACCTCCATTGATCCAAGCCTTTATTAGACTGTTCCACGATACTTGTACTAGTACTAGTACCGGCTTCCGGCATAAGCAGCATGGCACAGTATCCGATGATGAGATGAAAATGTTTTTTTTCTCCTTGGTTGGGTTCTCGTGTGACAAAAGTGGAGTATACAGATTCGGCCCTAGTACAAGCAACTTCATTTCCGCTCCAACCAAATTTCCGGTACTATACCCCCTAGACGGATAGTACCGGTACCGGCGTACCGCTAATACGAGGACTTGCACCAGCCTTGCACGATAAGCCAATAGCCACCAGTCCCGGAGCACCGGGCAGCCCGTCAAACCAGTCAAGAAGGCAGACCAGGAGGGGGGACGGGAGGGGGAAAGAAAAAGAAAAAGTCTCGCTGCGTTATGAGTGAACCTTCGGAGGGTGTATCTCCCATGACATAAAGCTCTCAAGATCTCACATGCTTTTAGTTCGAAGCCTTAGACGGAATTGAGTGAACACAGTTCCCTCTTCTCCTTCCCTTTTATTCCCAGTTTCCCTCCATACCACCGTATACGCAGCTTCATCTCCACCCCGATTCCACCGCGACAGGAGACGAACAATCCCTCACGCTGAGGAGACTGTAAATGGCGAATATGGCTTCAACACTCGGTGCGCTCTGTACTTTAGTAGCCCTGTTCCCGGCTATCGTTACTTCTATCCCTCTTGTACCTCGATTCGTATCGGGGAATGGAATCTTGGATGCATACGATTATGTCATTATCGGAGGTGGTACCAGCGGCCTAACGGTTGCCAATCGGCTTTCAGAGGATTCCTCCAGTAGGTTAACTTTTGCCTCGTACATTCGCTGAACGCGTAGCTGTCTTTCGGGGGCTTATTCACAGTGATTAGAAACCGTTCTAGTGATTGAGTCTGGTCCGATGTGAGTTTGGCTTCCCCGGGAGAAGGAATCGATTTATGCAGTAATAACCAAGTAACCAAATGTTTGTTTGCTAGGGATGATGGGTCCGAGAGTTTCAGGGTGCCATATCTGGGTCGTGGATACCTGAATTTTGGAACCAAATTTGACTGGAATATCTCCTCCGTGCCATCCCAATCTCTGGGTGGCCGGTCAATCATAATGCCAAGTGCGAGGGTGTTGGGGGGCACGTCTTCCATTAATGGGATGCAGTTTGCGAAAGGAGCGGTCTCGGACTATGATGCCTGGGAAGAGCTCGGGAATGAGGGATGGAACTTCGAGTCTTTGGCAAAGTACTTCAGAAAGGTACATGTCACTTCGTGAGAAGGGGCCTCATATCACGCGCTGACTTTATATCCCTGCACATATAGTCTGAAAACTTCACGGCCCCATCTGAGAAACTGGTGAAGGAGTTTGGGGTCACTTATGACAAGTCTGCGCATGGATTCACGGGGTTTATACACTCGAGTTTCCCAAGGTTTCTCTGGCCTCAGTTAAGTACGAATGCTATGATATGGGAGATTCCGTTGACCGCTATTGACTCTTCTTGGTATTAGAGAACTGGGTCGGTGCTATGAAAAGCCTTGGGCACTCTGTCTCGCAAGACCCGGCGAATGGAGGCGCTCTCCAACTATTCTGGTCGCCCCTCTCATTGAACCCCGATACCCAGACCCGCTCCTTCTCGCGGGAATATTATGATGGTGCACAAGACCGGCCAAACCTTCATGTCCTGCTCGACAGCACTGTTACCAAATTGTTGACTTCTGGAGATGAGAGAGTTAGAGTTGATGCTGTAGAGGTAAGGCTTCCTTTCCGAACGTAACTAGAAAGAACCTATGACTTATAACGCCCATAGTTTTTGAGCTCGGCAGGAGCCCAAAATGGATGCGTCAAGGTTAAAAAAGAGGCGATTTTAGCTGCTGGTTCGATATTCAGTCCTCAAATCCTACAAGTTTCCGGAATTGGGCCAGCGAGTCTCCTCAAATCGCTAGGAATCAAGGTCGTCGTTGATCTCCCGGGTGTGGGTGCTAACCTGCAGGGCCATGTCTACAATGTTATTTTCTATCAAAGTTAGTGTCATTCGATATCTTGGGATATACCGCCATCCAGCGAAAGTCCTTGCGAGACAGGGCTTCCCTTTGCCCGCACATGCTCCAATGGTGCAACAGCCCGCTTGATAATTCATATAGTATCCGGATGCATTGGGGCATTTAAGTGCAAATTCGGGCATCCCGGCGCCAAGGCATCCGTATACTTTATGAATTGCCAAGTATCACATCGTGCCCCTAGCAATTGTAGTCTCGGCCAAAGGGTAGCTCTGTTTCGCAATGGGATTCGCTGACTTACTGCAAGGTGAGAAAAACTAACCACTCTATCTATCTAGTGGCAAATGCCTCGCTCGCAGCGACAAACCTTACCACTAATCCAACTTTCTATAACGAAATGCACGAGCTATACAAGACTAAACAAGATGGTATGTATCTCATCATCCCTACGCAGAGTTTCCCCAATCTCATAACCATGATCCAACCCACTATTAGGCCCCTTCACCAACAATGGAGCAAACATGATAGCCATGCTCCCTCTCTCCGACATAACCTCAGATAACCTCCAAAACCTCTTCGAAGTTCCGAGCAAGAACCTCTCCCACCAGGACACGAGCCTTTCCAAAGGCTACCAAGCCCAGCTCAAAATTCTTCACCACCGCCTAACCACCCCCAACATGGCTGCAACGGAAGTAGTCTGGCTCAACGAAGGTGCCATGATCTTCTCGGTCATGCATCCCTTAAGTCGCGGCACCGTCACAACAACCTCCTCTTCCCTCCTCGCCGGCATACCAGCCGTGGACACTGGACACCTCGCCCACCCCATGGATACCAGAATCTTCGTCGAAACGCTAAAGTACACCCGCAAGATTGCCGCCACGGACGAAATGCAAAAGCTGGGACTCATAGAGGTGACCCCCGGAGCGGGAGTGAATACAGACGAGCAGCTTGAGAAGGCGGTCAGGGATATGTCAAATCAGATGTATCATATGACGAGCACATGCGCCATGATGAAGAGGGACCTGGGCGGGGTAGTAAATAAGGACTTGAAGGTCTACGGAGTGCGGAATTTGAGGGTTGTGGATGCTAGCGTGCAGCCATTGATACCAGCTGCGCACGTGCAATCCACGGTCTATGCTGTCGCTGAGAAGGTGAGTTTCCGGCGCACGTAAGGAGGAGTATCATGCGCGATCAGGCTGACACGGTTATAACATCACAGGCAGCGGATTTGATCAAGGCTGGGGACTCGTGACGGGACTGAAGGGTGAAGTGTTATGGTCGATATAGGGTGTTCCGGTGCTATATCATAGAGTTTCCCTTTGTTCTGGCGACCTGCACGAGATATAGGAGTGTATTGCGGCGATAATCAAGGATTATCGCCACCCTATCCGAAATTGTGTAACTTTATCGTATTACTAGTATTGCTATTGACAGAATACCTTTTTTTTTCATTTTTTTTTTCACTTTTGCGAATATTATACCGCGCTGTGTGGTGCCATTTGTGGAACGTTGTGTTGTCAGCCCTCACCGGACAGTGAAAAAAACGAACCACAATCCATGACTCAATCCGTCACCCAACCCAGAGCAGAAAGGAGGTCTCCCCTCAGCCCCCACACCCACGCAAACAGTTTCCCACCTTTGATTTCGCTGTCTTGTACCATTCGGGGCATTATACCGAAAGAGGAAGCGTCTTCAAGTTTAATCTCAGACCATCCTACCGGTACGATACAGTACCGGTACCTGGAAGTCACAAAATCTGAACCCCTTTCATTGCCAGTGATTCATGCTCTACTCGTACTCTCTTCTCCCCCACATCTGTCGATCCGCGTTCCTTCGCCGGTGATGGTTTGGACGCTTAAGAGCTGTGAAATTCTGGAATAAACGAGAGGGAATCATAAATAAATGGGGAAAATGGGTGGAAGAAAAAAAAATCGTACCAACGGGCGGCTCGAACACACGCCCGACCACACTGAGAGCAAAAAGAGATGACTTAGCAACAGCACGTTTCGATCGTGCGACCTCCGGGTTATGAGCCCGGCGCGCTTCCGCTGCGCCATGTTGCTTTTTGTTGACAGGTCAATTGAAATCTGAAATATGAAGGGATAAGAAATAATGAAAAATGGGAATATCGGACCGTAGTCGAATGCAACACCAACAATCTATCCAACAGACCAGAAGAAATGAAGTTTCCCACAGCTTTTAAAACTCGCTCGGGTATTATCCCTATTACACTCGACATCGCAAGCCCACCTACCAGGCCATACCGTACACCACAGACAAACGTTATCCATCCATCCCCAACAAACAAAATTCTTTCCCCCCACCCCCCGATCTATTCACCTCCTTTTACTTTCCTCACCCTCTCCAGTCCCAGCCTCTCCTTAACCTCCTCCTGCTCTCGCTTGAGAATGTCAATCTCCCGGATAAACCACATTATCCCCACCCACAGACCCGCGCAGATAAAGCTCAGGATGACAAAGTGGTAGCTTCGCGTGGCGGCCAGGAGGGCGAGGAGGGTTAGCTGCAGCGCGAAGAAAGAGGCATGCGTCGCGAGCACGAGGGATTGGTTGGCACCTGGTGTGAAGATGGAGTTCCAGAGGCCGGTGGCGAAGGTTGTCATTTTTTGTTGTTTGGTTGGCTGGTTTGGGGGTTGGTGGTTTGAAAAGGGGTGAGATTAGGAGGGGTGGTGGCTTGTCAGCTTCGGGAGCTGGGACGGGATGGGTTGGGTTGGTTTTGGGGTTTTCATGGGGAAAGAAGGGGATGGATCACGGATGGACCGATGGACCGGGGGTGACGGGGGGCGCCGGGTAACTATAGCAATGCACTGGGTAAACATTCTTTTCCGGAAATGTGTTTATCCCGGTGGTAGTGAGGTTCGGTCAAGCTTTTCTATTTTTTTTTTATGATTACAGTGAGCCTTACAATAAGTTCTTTGTGCGGGATGATTATCATCCCACCATACTCGAGTACTAGCTGATTTTTAAAGTATCCGGACGCCTTGGCACCCAGTGGCCCTGTCTTGGCGCCAAGGTGTCCGGATACTTTTTAAATCGGCTAGTACCATGGCCTGGCTTGATACTCGAATCCATTAGCATAATCGATACTGAACATCTTATCTAATTTAAGCTTAATCCTCCCCTGCCCCCAGCCGTTCCTTCCAGAACCCCTTCCCGTAACTGACACACAGCTCAACCCCCTTCTTCACGTCTCTACTCCCGACCCACAACCCCATCCTAACCTCCCCCCCAACACTCCTGGTCTCGAATACGACATTGGCCCTCACAAATCCCGGAACTCCCCTATAATCATTAACCATCCTCCCCTCGTTTCCCATACTGCGCGCATCCACGCCAACGCGTAACTCCCGGTCCAGATAGAGGTCGTAGTCCGATGACTCGTCGAGGTCGTTGTCATCATGCACGTATCCCAGGTAGTCCAGGATGAACGAACGTGCGGGGAGGGCCTTTGCGGCAAAGAGTCCGAGTTGTCCGTATGCCGGGTGTGCTGGGTCGGTGATTCTGCGGATTCTGACCAGGGCGGAGGGGGTGGAGAGGGGGCTGGTGGAGGACAGGGAGAGGTGGGTGAGGGTTTCGACCGGGAGGGATCTGCTGAGTTGGGGACGGGTTAAGTAGGTTATTCCTGGAGGCCAGTTGCAGGGGGTTTTGGAGGGGTTTGAGGAGGGGGAGGCAGAGGCACCGGTGGTGGTATTGGAGCGTGGATTAAGGACTCGTGGAGGTCCTTTTGTGGGCATGATTTGTGTGTCGGTTCGCGACGATGGCGGACTTCACACGAGTGTTGTAAATTTACGGTGATTAACGTGTATGGGTTGCTTTGGATGAATCGGGGCTCTTGCGGGTATATCTGATTGATTCCAGATCGGGAACAGATAGCCAGATACTGGTACAAGTACAGTAGGTTACGGCAGATATGGGAGAGCACACGGCCGGATTAGGTCAGCCAACCCCAACCTGTTTGCGGATGTCCAACGAAGCACGGCGACAACTTGTACTCTACTGTACTGGTATCATTGCAGGCATTATACCCTACAAATTGCTGACCGGCAAGGCAAGATGGATGGCACTGTATACTCGAAGAGCAGTGCTGCATTCAACTTGCCGCCATTTCTTTCACCCGATTCCGTGTCAATAGTTTGGGGGGGGTACACTAGTGAATTGTCAAACGTTTAGCTGGGCAGTTTTGCTTATATCGTGGGTTGATTTGGATCCAATCACAAAACTCTCAAGGTTCAGTCCCGCGGGTGTCCCGATCGGATTGAGATCCAAGCCAGCGACACCGTGAACCGTGGAGAGCCAGCCAGTCAGGACCCAGTACGAGGGAAAGGTTGGGAGGAACAGAAGGATTTAAGATCGGCCCAGAGAACACCACTCTACTTGAACCCTGGTTGCTGATGGGGCTAAACCCTCGATACATAGGCATAGGAATATTGATACCGGCAGCGCCGCTATCATAGCTGCGACGAAGGGCAACATCGCCAGGCGCACCGCAACCAGGGTGTCCGGTCATGCACTTTGCGGTGGTGGTTGGCGTGATAGCTGCGAGCGTCTCTACAGTGCTTAATCTGGGTGTGCTTCTGCGCCCTTACTTTCCCACCTTGCCTACCGTACCACATCGAACTGTCCCTCGCTCCCAATCTCACTGTATTCGTTGTACGAGTAGAATCCCTCTCACCCTTTCCCCTCCATCAATCTTATCGTCATCACGCACACTCACTTCCATCTCATCACCAATACCGCTACGCCTCTTTTCACCCCTGATTCCATCCTTCGTTTCTTACCCCCGTGACTGTGACGGACGGACGGACGGAAGGAAGGAGGCGAGAGGGAAAAGGGTAACACATACCGGTACCGTGCTCAAAAATCGTGTCATACCCAACCTCTCCCGTACGAGTCCCGTCAGGTCAGTACATACACTTCTTTTGCTCCCATCAGAACCGACTTCTGTCAATTCGCCCAGGCCATCGCTCCATTACCGGCTCGTTCTGTTCCCCTCTCACCTATCTGCTGAACCCCCCCTTGCATTGGTTACCACTTCATTGCGAGAAGGACAGAAGAAGGGGAGAGGGACCATCCGACTCGACTGGTGAGACCGGGGGTTCCCGTCACTTCTGCCGTTCTGACGGTGCCAGGTAGTCACGGTAGAGGTTGAGGGGAAAATAATAATAATAGGCGGAACAGAAAAAGGAAGGTTTGATAATATATCGATCCCGGTAGTGGAGGGTTCCTATAATTCCGTAATATTTTTTTCTCTTTCTGTACGATACCTCTGGCTATCCCGGGGGGGGGGAAAAAGGAAAGAAAGAGGGCAGTGTCACAATTTACATTCAAAAAATTCTGCTCGCTGAATGCCACCGACCCCGCCGCCCACGAGTACCGACAACAATCGAGAGCAGCTGGGCCCAAACTACCCGGACGCTCGCCACTATCAGCCGCTGCCCGATTCCCCCGACTCTCCACCGACCCCGCCACCACTGTCGGAGGCCAGGAAACAGCAGCGGCACCAACAACCACAATCAGACTTACTCGGGGACTCGCCAAACCTACACTCTTCTCCGGACCGCAAGCAGGGCCCTGTAAGAGAAGGGGCGGAATCCGTAAGGGTCAAAGTCTCGGAGGTACCGCCATCATCCGTGATAGGGGAAGTTTTCGCCACGGGGGATCTGATACACTCTGGCTCTGACCTGCTCGTTCCCGAAGACGGCGACGGCCACTCGCAATCTTACACACGAGCCGCATCAGCAGCCCCAGCGGTTGTAACAGCCTCCACCTCTGCCACACTCACACCCACCTCCACCACCGCGACTACAACCGCCGTTACAACACCTCACGCCTGTCCATCCATTGTCCCAGATCCGCTTGGGAAAGACAACGGGGAGGGTAACGACGAATTTTACGATCTCGCAGCCCTGAGAAGCACCGGTCTCTACCGAAGAAGCGGTGCTCTTGAGAAGCACGGTAGGGGTCAAGTTCCCACCGGTCTTGTGCGCCGGGGAATTGGAATTGTGAAGAGAGGCGAGCTTGGAGACTACGTTAGAAGGGACGGAGATATTAGTTCTTCTGCTGCCCTTGGTAGTGGAAGACTGGAGAACGCCGAGTTGGCGGGAAGATACGGTGCGCTTTTGCCCCGAGCCCTTAACATCCCCCGTGTCATCCATTGTTGTTGCCTTTGGCCATGCTTCTGCTGTGCTCCTACGACCGCTTGCTGCCTATCCCCCACCCATCCATCCGTCCATCCGCCCCTCACTCTCCTTTCCCTGCCAGCCTGTGTTTGTTGGGATTCCCCCACCCTCAAGTCTGTTTTTTTATATTTTTACCTTTTATTCTATTCTTTCTATCCTCCTGCCTGGCTGACATGAACCTCCGCACGTGTGTGCACATCTATCGATGAACCTAGCCCAAACACGTTCCCCTCCTCAACACCCTACCTCCACCACCCTCCAAACCTCTCCGGTTCATTCGCATTCGTCGGACCAATCTGTGTCTGAAGAGGAGGAAAACTCGGAAGTAGAGGAAGAGGAAGAGGAAGAGGAAGAGGAAGACGATATGGAGGAGGAAGAGTCCTGGATCGGCAACTTTTGCTCCATGGTAGGACATGAATACTTTGCTGAAGTCACAGAAGAGTTCATCGAAGATGATTTCAATTTGACAGGTTTAGGCCAGATGGTTCCTATGTGAGTGGTCTTGATTTGTTTTATTCGTTTTTGTTTTTTTTACCTGCTACGGAAGGATGTTGTGCCCTTTTCCCGTTCCGCTATCATGGCTGCTTTTGAACGAGGCACGACATTTCCCCATCCTTTTTTGTTCGTATTTTCACTATTTTGGAATTACGCGCTGATCCCTTTTTTCTGGCAAAGGTACAAAGAAGCTTTGGAAATGATACTCGATGTGGAGCCTGAAGACGACTCCGATAGCCAAGGGTCCGTATCCGAGTCGCTGTCCGAGCAAACTGGCGCTCAAGGGGGAGCTTACCGTCGTCGCTCAGCTCATATGCGCGTGGCCTCCGATTTATCTGCCATCGAAACATCCGCCGAAATTCTTTATGGCCTTATCCATCAGCGATTCATCACATCCCGCCAAGGTATTCAGATGATGTATGACAAGTATTTGGCGAATCACTTTGGGTTCTGTCCACGAGTGTACTGTACCCAAGCCCGAGTCCTTCCCTGTGGATATTCGGATACTCCCAGCGTGGAGACAGTTAAGCTTTTCTGCCCATCATGCTGCGATATCTATGTTCCGCCAAACTCCCGATTCCAGACAGTTGACGGCGCTTATTTCGGAACCACATTTGCCTCGCTGTTTTTGATGACTTTTCCGGAGCTGGATACATCTGGTAATGGCCGCAAGGAGGTTTTGTCTGGCGCCAGTCTGAATTCCGCGGGTGGTAAAAAAGGAGGGAACCAGGCCGGTGCTCCATACATCAACGGGGTATTGGCTACAAACCTCGCTCCTGGGTTAGGAAGGGGGAAACAATACGAGATGCGTATCTATGGATTTCGTGTATCGGAGCGAGCGCGCAGTGGGCCGAGGATGGGCTGGCTGAGAAGTCGTCCAGAGGATATATCCTTGTTGGATGAAACAGCAAAGTCCGGGTTAGCAGCGGGGGAGGAGGAGGAGATCGAATATAGTAGCGAGGAGGAAGGATTGGAGGACAGTGAGGGGGAGGAAGAAAGCGCCGATGAGGACGAAATGGCCCTGGGTGGGGACAGCATTGCTGGTTCTAGACTGGAGACATCGAGACGTGGCGGGATAACTCCTATGGATACAAACGGAACCGGTTTTGCAAGGTGAGTGGAGTGGAGCGGCGCATCGACCATATCTTGCACCAAGTGGGGAACTGTTCGTCTTTGAAGGGAGAAGAGCATTCGGACCCCACTTTTTTTTGTTTGCTATTGCTTTATCTTCTACTGCAACACTTGGTATTTTATTATTAGTCGCTTTTTTCCCCTTGGGCTTTTTCCCCCTTCATTTTTTTTTTCATTGAATTACTAGAGGTAGTACTAGCCGGTGCAAGCTATGGGTGATTGTTGTTGATGATGAGAATTGAAAACTCGCTGGAACTTACAGAAAATTATCAAAACAGGAGACGGTTTAGAGACGCGTTTGGAAGGAGAGAAGGGGAAGGTGGAGGAATTTCATGGGTGGAGAAGAAGAAGAAAAAGGATAGGGGTGTATATACCATGTTGTCCCTCTTATATTCGTACCTTTTGTGTTCTTTGGACATCTTCAGTCCTATCCTACATTTTTCCTTTTCTTTTTGTTCTCCTTGTGGCTTTTGAGATTGTGGTGTTTCTATATAAGTCATGCCTCGTTGGTTGGATTTGTCTAGAAACAATGGCCTCGCTATCTAATTAATTATACTGGGATCTTTTTTGTGCAGCAGATGCGGGTATTATATTGTGGGCGCCGTGTAATGGTGGGGTTGAGGAACCGATGTGATTCAATCCTTCCCGATGTCAACTTGGGTTTTTTCACTGAGTGACGGCAATCAACTTAAATCCACCGCCAAGAAGGAACCCAAGCGTAGACCCGAAGTGCACGTGAGCCAAAATTCCTTGCCCCGCCAAACCTGTCCCGCGTTTGGACTCGACTTGTCGGTACGGTGACAAGCAAACAACCTTACCTTAGCTGCTCCACAGCTGCACCTACCATAACTTACATAACTCTAGAACCGCCAGAAGAAGAAGAAACAGAGATCAGCAATCATGGGCGTTAGTGAGAAAATCAAAGAAATTGAGGAGGAGATGCGGAGGACCCAGTTAGTCTTCTTCCTTCACTGCATACTCCCCTGCCACCTGCAACCTCGCTGACAAAGTACACCTTTTAAAAATGCAGGAAGAACAAGGCAACAGAATATCACCTTGGGCTGCTGAAAGGCAAACTCGCACGCCTCCGTGCCCAGCTTTTAGAACCAGCACCAGGAGCAGGGTCTGGAGGAGGTACCGGCTTCGACGTGTCCAAATCCGGCGGTACTCACCTCTCCCCCTCAAGCAGCTCTTCCGGTATGAATCAAGAACTGATATGATATCACCAAGATGCCCGAATTGCCCTCGTCGGCTTTCCATCAGTTGGGAAATCCACGCTCTTGTCAAAAATCACAAAGACCAAGTCGGAGGTAGCGGCCTATTCGTTCACAACCCTCACCGCCATCCCCGGCGTGCTCGAATATGGTGGTGCCGAGATACAGATCCTGGATCTTCCCGGGATCATTGAGGGCGCGGCGGAGGGCAAGGGGAGAGGGAGACAGGTCATTTCGGCGGCGAAGACTAGCGACTTGATAATGATGGTGCTGGACGCCACGAAGAAGGCGGAACAGAGGGCGCTACTGGAGAGGGAGTTGGAGGCAGTGGGTATTAGGTTGAATAGGGAGCCACCGAATATCTACCTCAAAGCGAAGAAGGCTGGTGGGATGAAGTTGAGTTTTATGAGCACGCCAAAGAATTTAGATGAGAAGGTTTGTCTCACATGTTGTCGAGGAAAGATGGGTGTGGAGGGGGAATTAATTGGGGTGTTTGGTAGATGATATATAACATCCTGAGAGACTACAAGATGCTCAATTGCGAGGTGCTGATTCGGGACGAGAATGGTACTATCCTCTCTCCACTTATGCCCTCTATCAAGGGCTGACAAATCTAGCGACCGTCGACGATTTCATAGATGTAATCATGGCCCCTCACCGCCGCTATATAAAATGGTACCATCTCCCCCCATTACCCCTTCCCACCTGCCTCCCCTGCCTCCCTCTTTCTGCTCCCTAAACTAACACCTCCAACCTAGTCTCTATGTCTACAACAAAATAGATTGCATAAGCATGCAATTTCTCGACCAACTGGCGCACGAGGACCACACCGTTGTCATGTCCTGCGAGCTGGACCTGGGCATCACCGACGTCGTGGACCGGGCCTGGCAGGAGCTAAACCTAATGCGCATCTACACAAAGCGCAGAGGTGTACAGCCTAACTTTTCCGAAGCCCTGATCGTGCGACAGGGCGCGACGGTTGAGGACGTGTGTGATCAAGTACATCGCAGTCTCAAGGAGAGCTTCAAGTACGCACTTGTTTGGGGCGCTAGTGCTCGGCATGTGCCGCAAAGGGTTGGGTTGGGACATGTGGTAGCTGACGAGGATGTTATTTCTATAGTTACGAAGTGATTGTGATTGCAGTGGGGGAGAGGAGGGAAAACAAGTTGGATGGGGAAGTGAAAAGTCTAAAAACCGAATGCTTATTAGATACAATGTCGTGATAATATGGATGAAGCTATGGTGAAAACGTAGAAAAGGGAGAAAAGGAAAAAAGAAGCGCAAGAATCCTGGTGCGCACTTTCTTCATGTTTTGTGTCATATCAATCTTCAAGATGGACTTTGCCTCTTCGTTTCTCGAGAAACTTCACACCGCCCAACCTCTAATTCTGCCACTCTCCCACAAGAAAACAGGCAGAAGAAACTTACCCTCCCCGCCCCCGGGGCTATAATTGCTAAAGCTCAGTTTTCAGCCTCATCCCCCGCCCCCTAATCGCCCCGGACGCAACGTCATCTACCTCCCCGGCGCGACCATCAACAACAGGCATAACCTCCAGCGGCGCCTCCACAAACCCCTCCAACCCCAACCACCCAGCCAAGAACGCGGCAGTAAGCCTCGCCCAATCCTTAACGGTGGGTATATCCAAATGCCTCCCATCATCCTCTATAACATGCCAAACCCTCGGAAACGGGGCAGGTATGACGTGCAATACCTCCACCCCCCTAGCCAAGAACGGGACGTGGTCGTCCTGGATCATCATGCCGTTGGGGCGCTTCTCCTTCTTGGTGGCAGGCTCGAAGAACCAGAGATTGGGCGAGGTCTCGTGCGAGAGGAAGTGGCCTTGCCGGCGCAGGCGGGATTCCAGAGTTGCCATGTGCGTGTAGGCCCAGTGGGTTGTGGAGAAGTAAGAGGGGATGGTGGGGGATTTGGAGCCTAGCAAGTCGAGGAGGAGGAAGAGGTCTATGCTCGAGATGTGGTTCTTGCGCTGGGAGAGGGCCGTATGTGGGGTTGATTCCCAGGCTTCCGCTAGGCTTCTGGGGGCTCTCCGTTAGCTCAATTTCGGTTGGTGGGAGATTGGTGGGAGGAAGGGGAGGGGTACCTAGCGCCATATAGGGAATCTTCATTGGTCCAAGAGTGAAATGCCTCCTCCCCGTCCAGGAATAAGATCATGACACCACGGTAAGCATCCTCGTGCCCGTCCCCCTCTCCCAACCCATCTCCGACAAGTCCCTTCACCCGCATGTCCTCCCACTTCCTGGTTAGTGCCTCGTCGACCGCCTGCGCCGCGTGCATCAGCACAGCACACGGCACCGCCGAGTCCGTCGCGCCGATGAAGCCCTCGGGAGTACTCTTGGAATCGTAGTGCGCTACCAGCACCAGCCGGCCCACTTCCCCCTCAATGGCCCACGGCGGGTCGCGCGTGGCGTAGAAGTTGACAAACGGTATCTCTACCCCGTTCGAGGTGGGTGTCGTCGCCGTTGAGTTCTGCGTCGACGTCTTCCATTCCGGTAGCTTTGTTGCGAAGAAGTTTTGGAAGTGGCTCAGCACCCTCAGCGAGCCTTCGGTACCGGGAACGCGGGGTATCAGGATGGGGGAGAGGAGGGCACCGGAGGTTATGTCGAAGTCCGTGTCCGAAGGGCTTGGCAGCCGGGCAAGGGTTTCGTCCGAGAGGTCGGTCCAGGCGGTTGTTAGGGTTGGGAAAAAGGGGAGGATTAGGAGGAGAAAACGGAATAGTGGTGCCATGGTTGGCCGATAGGGTGAGGGAGAGTAGGGCCGGTTTGGTTCACAGCGGCGGTATTATGTTGGAGTATTTGTGGGGTCTCGGGGAGGTGTGAGGTTGTATTAAGAAAAGTTTAGGAACAGGGGAGGGAGGTCTGAAACTAGGGTTAGGGGATGTATGATTGGACAGGGTGGCCTTGGTTGATCGATTGCTGGTCTGGTTCCTGGACCAGGAGGTCCCTGCAGCACTTTTGGAGTCGGGATTCTCTGGATTCTAGTATGATGTCATAGCGTGGTCCATCTTCCTTTACCATTGTCCTATCGCTACGATTGTGTTTTTGAAGTACTGGATATATAGTGACATCCGCATCGCTCCCCAAGGGCTAAACGTTTTGGTTGCTTAAAATTCACCACTCGCATCGCTTCACGCAGGAGATCTTCTTGCTGCGAGTGGGCGAGCCAATAACATTCAATTGCTGCTCCCAGAAATCTGACATTATCATTTATGTCTGCCCAGCTATCTTTCCCTATCTACCGGCATCTATTACACTACTAGATTTTTTTTTTTTCATTTTCGATCCTTCTTTCTTTCCTTTGACCCCTGGTATCGATAAACGGTCCGGAAAAGTGTAGCCCTTGACCTTGGACCTTTCTACTCCCTTGCTCTACTACTGTGCAGGAACCATACTAGTACGAGTACATGAGGTATGAATACCGGTATTATATCGTAAAGACCGTCCCTTTGCATATCAGATCCCTCCGAATAAAAGGCGTCGGGACAGCACAGGCACACGGGGTCGGATCCGAGCCCTCATTTATCAATCGATGGAGTGCAAAGTGGCGGTACCGGAATATGTAGTGGGGGGCGCTCATAAACCCTTCTAACATGATTCCGTCCATGCCGGGGAGAGTTTCGCTCTCCCAGTAACCTATCTAGGTTCGACAGTTGGCCAACAGGCTCGGGCACAGTGCGGAATGTTTTCTTGGGGAAGGTTGGAGCGCTCTGCAGAGTGTTCCGGGTTGTGAATTTAGAAGGGTCCCTACTATTGACGGGATAGGTTTGCTGTTTACTCCAAGGCAGAGGGGGATAAAGTCCTAAGTGCCTCCTTTACCACGGCATCAACGCCTCGAGAACCCGAACAGCGGCATCGGTAGTGACGCAATGATATTTTGTTGAGGCCTGGCCGAGATGCCGGCCTAGTCTTTGGTGGATCGGGTCTCGTGGGCTCCCCTGATTGCACTTACTGTATGTCAGTGAATCCGGGGATGGAGGAGTGAAGGTTCTCATGAACGCTCCAACCCTCCGGTGGCAGAGCTGTACTGAACGATACCTACTCTAGTATGCTGGAACTCGAGTACGCACGCTATACTAGAGCACTCGGGACTACAAATACGAAAGGAATAACAAACACCACGGATTAATGCTTTCGATTAAAGTGCTTTTGCTTTGGCTCCCAGCGTGTAATGGCATCTGGCAACTCGGCTCACCCCCACCCGCGGTCCATGGGGTGCCCTACACCGCGGTGTTAGTTCGAGTACTCTATCAATCGACTTTCCGGGCCAGGGATGGAATAGGCGAATCTCAGCGCTGCCACCCATAGCAAATATCCGCTGTGATTACAACTACGGCATCCGGAGGATTTGTGGGAATCAATCCACTTTGTGGTATCGTCCGAGTTCGTCGGAAGCGTGGGAGGTAAAGGGGTGTCCATACGCCTATAATGGGACTGTTCCCAAATTGAACCCTTCTAGTAGACCTAGTGATTGACTGCTACCTACTCTAATATAAATTTTGTCAGGAACAAATGGCGATGGAGCACCTTCATTTAAGGGCTGCAGTTCCGCAATCTTCGCAAGATCTCCTTGAAGCCTCTGATTTGCTCATGATTGGTCGACCTCATGCAGGCACGGATTTCCAGATTTCAGCTCCAATAGCGCAGCGGGTGGGACATCTTCACAAGTCTGAAGTTGACGGATGATTTCACAACAAGCAGAGGCAATGCTCATTCCCGAAATTTTCGACGGCAGTCGTTTAGTATGGTGACGGGTCCGGCTGAGGTTCGAAAAATTCGTTCGAGCGCCTGCCGGTGCATGTACGGGTAATCATCCATGATACAACAACACTTTTCAGCGCACAGGTTATATAGCTACTGGTACCGACCAAGCACTCGAAAGACTAGGCACATAGTTACTAGGTCTCTGTGGAGCGAGTACTAAAGCTTTATATTCCCACCCATTGCCTTTCATTTCCTCATATATCGCTATTTCTGTGCTTTATACGGGTACCCAGGACTATTTATAGTTCGCGTCGGGAACTTCTAAGCCAAGGTGGCGGAGAGAAAGTTTCGCCAGAGAATTGCCCCTTGCACTTAGCATTTGGTCCTCTATGGGTAATGGCAGTGTCTGTTCTATCCCAAAGCGGTGAGAATCGGGTGGGTCGGAGAAAACCTGACATAATAGTTGGGTACTCGCAGATACTTGTTTTAGAACATAATATCTCGGGGATCTCGGGCCGCTAAAGGCATTTAGACGGGGTGGGTTGAAAAAACGAGCTTACTTGAGCCAACTATTGGAGGTTGCACCGTCTTCGGTTCCGGGCTGGGACAGTGGAACATCAGTATTAAATGTGTCTAACGTTTTTAGCTTCAACACTGCCGGCACCTGAGGAAATATCTGAGAAACTGTTGCGGGATATCGGCCCGTGATACAAATAAAACCCGTATGTTGCACCTGGACTGGGCGGTTATTTGGCACGGAAGCAAGCATTGTTTACTGTGAATGATCCGCTATATCCGCTACCCCGATCTACTATCCTCGAGTACGGGCTACAGACAGAATTAATATCGGGTACTACATTAAACCGGTTGTGGAAAATGGGCTGATCTGAGCCGCCCTTGGCCCTGGATCCTTTTAGACTTTCCAGGCGGCTGGGTTACCTGGGCCATTCGTACAGTATGCTCTGCAACTCTACGGTACTGAGCTCGAATGATAAACGCCCCTTTGGATGTGTAGTACTGTACTTTGCGGGCATAAATACGGTGCATGTACCGTACTCTGTGCTCACCAAGAAAGCAATGTCCACTTACTTCCCAACAATTGAATTTAAGGAGTCTTGAATAGGTGTCCCATTTTCAATGCAATTCGCTTCCTAGCGCTGCCAGATTCTTGTGGGAAAGAATGTTTCAGAATTAAGAGCTTAAAATGTTGCTGGTTGCACCTTTTTTTCGACCTACAACACCTGGTGGGGCATCTGGAGAATACTAGCAAAAGCAATCTATTTCCATGACTAGGTTACCATTGACCTACGGATTCCGGAACTCAGTGCTGTTCAACCAGTGAAGGAGCGGTTGGCGCTCAACATACCCGGGCCAACACTACCATATGCAATCCATCCGGCATACGGTAGCAAGGCAAGGTCATTATCTATTTTTTTATACTTTTTCTTTTTCCATTACTGGATTGAGATGCTTGGTTTAAGTACAGACTCAGCTGTTCCCTCAATGCAATTGTCTCCCGGACATCATCGGGTCACTACAGATTTTTGCCCTAACTCCGTGTAATCTCCTCGACGAACCAGATGGCTGCCTAGATACGAATGACTCGCCTATCTATGGATGGGTGCATGCTACAGGTTCGGAAAATCTTGAGAGTTGGAATGCAACCAACCTTAATATCGTCATAGTATTATATTATTCATTTCCAGCACAGCTCATGACCAGAAGAGTAACACAATTCCATTCTTTGGAATTAGCCAAGCCCCTGCAAAGGCCCCACAGAGATATATATTCCTCTATCGTGAGAACGGCATGGGGGCAAGAGATGCACGGTTAGGAGCGCCAGTCCCCTTCTAACACTAGAGGGGGCTGTTGGATACCATGACCGTAGCCAATGCTGAAAAATGAAGACAGGGAGATGTCACAATTCCTCAATTGGTGTTCTCCTCCGGCGTTGAACTCTCCTGCAGGAAGCCGATCGACAACTGAAAGGGATGTAATTGTTCGGTAAATCAATCCCGCTTCTCCATTTGTTGCTTCTAATCAACCTGGAGGTTGTACCCTCCGAGTGATCATCACAGTATCCGTGATCATGTGAAATGATTTTGGTGGTTAGTTCCAATAGAAGCTGACCATATACATTGGTAGGCGGCGCTTTCGGAATTGAGGCCAGTCCAACACGTTCCTAAGACACAAACTCTAACCACAGTGCAGGCCTTCAACTCGAATATTAGTCCATTCTGATGCAGGGTGGCTCCTATCCGCTATCTTTCAGAACTCCATTTTCATCGATGATTGTCATGCTACATGAGCCTCCCTAGTGACTTGAGAGAGCTCCAGCTCTATATAAATCTTTCCGAAAATCCCCTCGCCTTCAGATCCGTCATCACGCATCACATTTTACACATCTACGCCCTCTATCGAACTCGCTCAAGCATTTTCAGTGAACTCCCTCCTAAGAATCAATAATTATGGCCTCTTCAAGTAATGAATGGTCCAACCTCCGGTCGATTATCGTCGGACGTGCAAAGGGCTCTGGTTTCCCCTATGAAAACGATAAAGTTACTCACACTTTAATGTATGAAGAATTCTTCCATGAATTTAAGCCCCATAACCCATTCCCAGAATATATCCTCGAGGCAGCAGACCGCGAATTGGACCAGTTCGTATCAATCCTCGAAAAAGAGGGCGTCAAAGTCCAGAGAGCTCGGGACGTCGACTGGAACGAGATCGGAGGATACACAGGCTCTATGGCGAGAGACGGCCTCATGGTAGTTGGCAACCATGTAATTGAAGCTCCATACGCCTGGAGCTGCCGAAAACAAGAAATCGAACTCGCATTCGGCCATATCCTTGCCGACTTAGAGAAGGATCCCAAAGTCCGTGTTTTCAGGGCTAAGTTTCCAGAAGGTCGGGATACCATCTTTGACGACGATGCTGAAGGAGGTGAATCCCTCTTCACCATCAACAACTCGCGTCCAGCATTCGACACCGCTGACTTTATGCGTGTTGGAAAGACCCTCATCGCCCAGCTTAGCCATGTCACAAATCCAGCAGGCGTCGATTACTTACGCCAACGTTTACCGGAAGGGTATAAAGTCCAGATCGTCGAGACCAACGACCCTACAGCTATGCACATCGACGCTACCCTCTGCGCGCTTCGCAAGGGGCTGCTACTCTACCACCCGAGGAAATGCACCTACGAGAACTTGTCGAGTTACGAGGTGTTCAAGGGGTGGGAAATCATTCCCTTCCCCGTCAAGCCAAAATACCGCACCGAACCCCCATTGTTCATGACCAGTGCTTGGCTCATTATGAACGTTCTCTCCATCGGCGACGGGAAGGTCATCATTGAGGAGCACGACACCGATTTCGGAGAATGGCTCAAGGCCAAAGGAATGAAGCCCATTTACTGTCCTTTCCGGCATGTTCATAGCATCGGCGGGTCTTTCCATTGCGCCACTGTCGATTTGGTTAGAGACGATGATGACGACGAACCGGCTTCTGCCACCACCACCGCCACCGCCACTACCAATGGGTACACTAACGGGCATACCGACGGCCATACCAATGGTGCCGACGGTGTCAATGGTGTTGGTGGTGTCGGCGGTGTCGGCGGTGTCCATAGTGTCCATAGTGTCGGCGGTGCCGACGGTGCAAACGGTTTTCAGCCGAACGGTGCTGATCCGAGCGGCATTTGAACAGAGTTCTTGCTATAATCTGTTACCGGAAGTTTGAGCTATTAGGGGGATAAAGGCTTTGCTTAAGTTTTTTTATTTTTTATTTTTTATTTTTTGTTTTACTGGAATTTTCTTGTTACGGGTGGTGAACTGAGGTAGGGGATGTTTTGGGACCGGCGTAAAAATAGGAGACTTTTGTTTTTACGGGGACAACCATATACCGGTGCTAGTGGGCTACGAACGGACGTTATTGGGGTTCTTTTATAATGGTATCAAGCTGGCATTGATGTGACTTGACGACGCCCAAGATTCCAACACTAATGAGATCCGGGAAACACCCGAATTGAGAGCGATATATGCGTATATTGGATGTGGGTGCATATCTCCTAGCGATACATGCGATACCAGGGCAGCATGAATTTAGTGACTAGGAATTGTCCACTCCCCCGGGAAATTAGGGCGAAGCAGTACCTTCAATGCAAGCCCAAAACACTCCCCGTCACCCCACCTCCCAAAAAACCGCCCATAAAAGCGCACCGCATCCCTTCTCGGGACCTCACAGGGCCCCCCTTACCTTACCACCGTAGCTCAACCTCTAGTGAGAATCTCTCCACATTCACAACTAATCACTCGCCACCAACCCGTGCCTCGCACAGCACTCGTCTACCCAGAAACGCCAGTTCCAGAAGAACCTAATATAGCCTCCATATCATCAGAGCCTATCTGCCAGTGATACACCACATTACCCCTCCCGGTCAATCACAAGGCTTGAAATCCACACGTTTCCCGGACCATCTTGTCCCTCGACGCACCCAGGTCGGTAGGTCAGCTAGCGGCGCTGCACTGGTATATCCTTAGGGCCACACGAGTGGCGGTACCGAGAGGTTCGTGTCTCGCGGCAGAGTACGAACCGTACTGTACTGTATCATACAAGTACCCGTAATATCTGCACCTCCGGATCGAGCGCGGACTCTGGTTGTGGCCTAGTAGGGCTTGTTGCTGTCCGAGGTGTGGTACGATACAAGTACTAGTCTCTGTACAAGGGACGGGGCATACCGGCACTCGAGTAAAAAAAAAGAGTGATACGGTGCAGGGGTGATTGGTGTTGATTCCGATCAAAAAATGATAATTCCGGAATACCACAAACAACCAGGTCCCCTCCCTTAGAGAAAATAGGTCAAGGTAGTGCACTTTTTTTTTGTTTAAGGCCTTGCACGGCATGCCACAAAAATTGCAATTTTTCCACCCCAATGCAATTTTTTTCACCATTTAAATATATTTAAATTAGGCCCTGCACAGCATGCCACAAAAATTGTAGTTTTTTTTTTCAGATAGCATTACAATTTTTTTGAAATTGAGAATCTAATCTGATGTAAATAAGGATAAAATGAATCTAATAGTTTCTATAAACAAAATTCAAGTTTAGACTGTAGATACTGTGCTTGATATTTATTTATTCCTTATATACCTATCTAAGTCCTTCCATCTTTACACTTTCAATAATTTCAAGAAAAAAGTAAATAACAAAAGTATAAACACTATCCACCAGCAAATGACCTACCAGTTGAGACCCAGTCAGTATTGACACCAAAACTATATAGCAAATTTCATGTCAGTTAGATATAATCCTACCTGATGTGATTGTTTACAGTAGGATAAGTGAGTATTTCCAAAAAAAAATATTGGTGTTACTGAGTAGCCATTTTTCCATTTCAGAATATATTCCATTTTTAGCTTTTATTGTGATTTTTTTTTAAATTGGTACATGCCATGCAGGGCCTGAAAAAAAAAAAACCCCCCCACATTTGTCATGATACAGCTCTCCGTAAATTTCAGAGGTTAAAAGTTATTATTTGCCATCGGTCCTGCACACTTGAAGGAAAAATATATATAATAATATTATTATATATATATTGTGTTGTGACTGATGAGAGTAATCTATACACATTATTACTAATGAAGCTCTACGAGAGGATATCATATCGATCGCTCAGATACCGGTACTCGAGTACAGTACGGTAGGGCTGTCTAGGCTATGAAAGCTAATTTTAGCAACCAAGGATAGCATTAAAAAATAAAAATAAAAAAAATACCACCCTAGTGGTTTGGGGCGCCCGTGCTGAACAATCGCATATCTAAGTGTTCGGTTTGAAGGGCAACTTGCTGGAGGACGACGCGGTCCAAACATCCTTCGTTTTAAGACTCTACTTTATTGATTGACAGTTGTATAATATGGGAAGGAGGAGGAAAAAGCTGTACTGTGCTCGAGTATTCTCCAAATGTCTTCTTCTTTAGTGTGCTGTGGTATCATACCCTGCTTATAATAGATATCACTCGTCGCGCTGCACTACCTTTTTATGTCTGGTCCTTGTATCCATCCTCCCCAACGTGGCCAGATGCGGGGGAAACATTTTCTTGGCATGATGGGGGAAGTGGGTTGGGGTTTGGGAGGTTGGCTGTCTCGTTTGTTGCACGGGGGCGTTATTCGTTTTGTAGGGTATCATACTGCACGGTATCATATCATACTAGCATCGTATCTTTATCATAAAATTACGTGAGGCGGGGGGGGCTATGCTGAGCTATTCTGGGCAAAAGTTCTTGGTATACGAGTGAGATTGCGTGACATCATTTATTCTTGAGATATGTGAACGGAATGGAAGAAGAGAAGAGAATATACAGGTTAAAAATAATAATTCATCCAGGAAACAGATGAAAAATGTGAAGAAGAAGAGAAAAAAAGAAGAAGAAGAAAAAAACGCCATGCTCCTGTCCATTTATACAAAATCTCCCACCGTTACTTGTATACTAAACTCTAGCACCCTCAAGAACTCGTACCATCAAATCCCTATACGCGCCCCTCTTGATCTCACCGCCGATCCCCTCGCCGAGGTCTTTCCCGTACTTTGCTTTGTAAGCGGCCCTCACGGCGCGGAGGTGCCTCTGGTTGAAGTGCAGTCTCGCGGCGCGCGCGATGAGCCTGGTATCCCGAACCCACAGTATGCCGATGGTATCGTGTAGGAGTTTCGCATCCCGTGCCGGTCTCGAGGAGGCGCAGCAGAGTGCATGAATAACGGCATACTCCTGTTCCAACTTAGCGGGGTAATTGCGAGGAGGATAAGGGAAGAGAAGGGAGGAAAAAGAAAAGAGAAAAGAAAAAGGTAGCGTACCAAATTATTCGGCCAGACCCCTCCCTTTCCAGCGATCACCCTTTCCCTTGCCGCCACAACGTCCACGAGCTCGCGCGCGTGCCTCTCCCTAAACCTTCTGCACAGGTCCCGAAGGAAGGCGTCGCTCCTGCGAATCACGACTTCTAGCAGGAGTCGCTGATCGAGATACTTGATCCCTCCGCCCCCCCTCCCGACAGCGTACAAGTCTTCCACTTGCGCCACGATATCCTCATTCCTCCTGGCCCCCAGCGGCTCCCCCTCGTCGCGATCGCACTTCATCAACCGCCTCGCGGCGCGGCCAAACGCGGCGCTGGAGGTGCCCTCGGGGTATAATTCCGCCAAGGCATCGCAGATGTTCCACCCGTTGTTCAGCTCCGCGAAGGCGGCCTTGAGGAGTCGGAGTTCGCGCGGGGATTTGCCGAAGATGATTTCCGCTACCAGTTTGTCGTCGGGCGGTACTTGGGTGTGCGCTTGGCCGGGGCTGCTGCGGCAGTAGGTGCTTAGCCATTCCGCCTCGTTGCGGTGAGGGCCCGAGAGCAGTTTTAGGAGGAGGAGCCTGTGCGGGCCCGTGGTTTGGGTGCGGATTTCAGTGTCGAGGCTTCTACTTTGGTTACTGGGTAGGGATGCGAAGGCTTGGTTGAGGTTTTCCAGGTTGGAGGGCCGAAGGGCTATCCTGGCGACGGTCTTGTTTAGCAGGTGTGGGATTTTGCGGGATTTTGCGTATTGGTTGAGGGCGGTGGTTAGTGTTACGCAGTCCTCTGTTGGGTCATATGGGAGTGCACTGCTCGGTGTTGAAGCAGAGGAGCGGGTGGAGCGGGTGGAACTGGTGGAGGCAGTGGAGGTAGTGGAGGAGTGTCCGCTTGACAGGGGGGGAACTGAGGATGATGCGGTGGAGAGATTGCTGGAGTAAGACCGAAGACCGCGCGGGAGTGCCAATTTAGGCCGGAAGTCGATCCCGAGAATTCTCGACGCCTTCCGTGTTAACCCTGGCCCGTCCGTTGCGCTCGATGATCCCCAGGAACGTGGCAGGGATGCAGTTGGCGATTCACCTACTCCCGTTGAGCGGAAGTCTATGGGTAGCGGCCAAATCGCCCGCAGTCTTTCTGGGGAGCTAGGTGTTGAGACCGCCTTTCGTGCGGGAGTGACGGGCCGCGCTCTGGGATTTTCAAAGTATGGGCCCTGCGGCGACGGGCAGCTTGTCGCGCCAGTACTCGAATGAGACCTTTGGTGGGTTATCTCTGGCACACTAGCCAATCGCAATGGAGTCGTAGGCCGTGGCAGGCGAGGCGGTGAAGCTCTTGACAATATCGGGTGCAAAAATGATTCCTGGACCACAGGCGCGGGGCCCGGGGTATTACTGGACTGCGGAAACAGGGGATGAGGGTATAGCCCATCCGGTACCGGCGATAGATTAACAGGAGATAGCTCATAGTCAGGCCCAGTGCTAGCGGAGGCACTCAAGCTCCTCAAGCTCCTCTCCCCTCCGAGGGACAGGGTTTGGTCAGCTCCCGGGCTCGACGGGTTCGAATGAGACAGGATAAACGGCGTCAGAACCATTGTTTCCGAGTCCTCCGTGGAACCCGACGTACACGAGCATGCTGAGGAACCGTCACTAGCTCTCCTCGTTGCCCACCTTTCATTCCCTGTCATATCTTGTCTCTCAAAGGATGTCTGAAGCTGCAAGTAAAGCGCTGGTTCCTCCTCTTCACCCCGTTCCCATCCCACATTCATTCCCAACTCCTGCGCCGAAACTTTAAACCTTGGACCCTCCCTATAGACGGCGCCGCCCTTTGGCAGAGACCGTGGAGGAACACACCGAGGCATTGAAACGAGTGGCAGGCCAAGCTCCGGATTCTCCCAAATGTCGATGAAGTCTTGAATTGTTTCGTCCCCAACGTTAACGGGCATCTCCATTTCTCTTTTTTTTTACTCTTAAAAAAAAAGGCTGAGTTGTATTAAGTCCTCGGGGTTCCCTAGGTAGCGCAATTTTTTGGGGGTTATTGGAGGAGGGGGGGGGGTTGATAGTTATATAACCTAGGGGACCAGTCCCCTCTGTGCGCTCATCAACCTGCAAGCAAGTAGAAAGAAAGTAGAAAATGTTTAAACGAAGGCGTAAGTCTAGGCAAATATAACTGAGCAAGCTCAATTTCCAGATGCCCAAGTCCGTACGTTCATTGATGAGGGAGGCTGTCAGCTCTGATATACAATAGAATGACTTCTACATGGCCACCCCTCCTCTATTTTTTTTCTTTTCTCCCCCTCCTTCCTTCGTCTACGATATATACCACTAAGTGCAACTTTTACGAGCGGTGGTACACGCTAACACAGCATCCTGACCAAAGCTGCGGCCCCCGGATACGATACACTTACAAACGAGGGGGGGGAGGGGGAGGGGGAAAGTGCAGAAGGGCAGGTACCGTTTCTTCCGCGCCGTACCATAAAAACCTCGGCCTTTACAAGCATTTAACTTATCATACTGCACGACAGTCGCAACCCACATGCAATCCCACCACCACCCAATCCGCCAAATAAGCGCCGGCGAGAAACCACTACCGGCACTGCGGTACCACCACATCGCGTGATACAAGGCAGGAGGTTCACCAAAAAAGAAAATTCAAAGAGAAAGGATGTTTCATTCCCTTCCATCCGCTTTCCCATCTCGCGCCCCTCCCGTGAGCAACTGTCTACGAGTCACCGCTACCGATCCAGGCCAGGTTACAAGTACTTGTACTTGTACATGTGGAATTAGTATTCGCCGCGAATGCGGCTGCAATGGATTATACGAAACGGATGTTGTATACCGGTGCCTAGGTAGCTTAATTAATCGGCGAGTCGTAGAATGGCAGATTCCGGCTAGAAAGGAAGAAACAAGGTGGGATGCGGGAAGCAAGAATAGCCATTCCCGGTTTTCCTCGTGGAGAGGAATCGTTTCACAGCCCCCCCTCAAAGGTTCTGGTGGCAGTGGCTGTGATGATACTGATAATGGCAGAGAAGGACTAAGGGGAGCTCGTATGCACCTAATTTGGTGCACTATAGCTTGCATACGATACGATACGATACGATACACGCCTCTACGGATATCTTTAGGAACCGTACTTGAATGCCTCCGCGGATATCAAATAAACTGGTGAAGAGAGAAAGTGGCAAAGAGACACAGGAATCATACCATACGGTACCCCACCAGAAGAAGCAATAGCAAGCAGGGCAATGCGAAACATAAAGAAAGGAAGAAAGAGGAAAGAATGTGGGAAAAAAACAATTACTTGTTCTTATCATCTGGAACCAGTCAAGTAACCCTCGATTGGATGAGGAGGAGGGTAGGGGCAGGGGGGGTTGTCGGCGGCTTAGTACAGTATTTGCAATACAAGCGTCGTTAATATAGTACTGATATAGTACAGTACGGTACATCACACCACGGCGGCTATAGTAAGAGAGAACAAGTACAGATCGGTACTCTACTCGAGTCGTGGTCGGCGTGACCACCCCAGTCCCACTGTGCCGCACTATTTCTAGCAAGAAATCCAGCCTTACGAAAACCTTAAAAAAGGCCCGATTTCCCGGAGGTCGATTAATCCTGCTCATCGGCAGAAGGGTCCCAACGCCTAACATACTCGAGTACCATACCGGCACTGTGTGAACCCCCCCCCCGTGCAAAAATATATCCTGTGCGGTACGGCACTTGCGCTGCGCCATCTTAAACCGTTCAAACCCCGGCACCGGTGTGGTACAGTACAGTTACCACGCTGGCACAGTTACAAGTAATTTACGGACAGGTACAAGTACAGTATGAAATACCCGAACAGGGATGGGAAAAATTTGTATGGCAAATCATCTTTTGCACATCTTGAGCGCCCACACCAAACCCGGACCCAAACGTTCCGGTATTGCACTGTATCATACTGGTTCAGTACTGTACTGTACAGTACAGCACTGCAAAGTGCTTCACGCCGGACCCTTTTAACTTGCGAAACCGGGGGGTGGGACTGGTACCGCTGTGGATCAGCTGTCACACTACTGCTACTACTACTACTACTACTATTACTACCACCGTCACCACCGTCATCCAAGTTTCCCTTTTCTTTTCTTTTTTTCTCTCTTCTTATTTGTAAGAGTAGATCAAATTCCTGCCGTGCCGTGGCCGTGGCGAAGCACGGGAGCTTGCCTTGGAGGACACACCGCTCTATTGTACCAGTCAGTCCTTGCACATGATATCCTTCAGGAACGCATGCAGACAAAGTACCGTACCGCACAGTACAGTACTGTACTGCACCGTAAGCATCATATTCCCAAGTCGGCCGGCCGGCCAACCAACCAAACTTCCTACTAATGTTATCTTCCGTTCTCTTGTAATAATTTGAGTTTTAGCTTCACGAGTCAAGCATATGTCTCTGCTCGTTAATGCGGGGGAAGGGAGGACGCTATCCGCCGCACGTCTCATCCAGAGAACCCGCCATGAAACCCCCCCGTCCCCCCGGCCCCACCCCTCGATCCATTCTGCTACGCTGTTTCATGGCTTCCTCTAACCTCTGTTTCTTGGGAGAGTATTTGCCATCCCCCTTGGGTGAGGGAGGAAGAGGAAAAAAAAAAAAAAAAAGAGTGTCATATTGTACATAAGGAAGGGGATTTAGAGGACCAAATAGGGCCACTCGCTTGAATGTACACTTCTATAATAAAACTTTCAACCATCTTGTTTCCCCCTGTCGGAGAAGGGCGTGAGGATGGAGGCGAGGGAATTAGGCAGTAATGCATCCCTTCTTGTTTGGCGGGAAACAAAACTGAGGCTCAATAGGCTAGTATTTCTTCTTCTTCTCCTTCTGCTGCTGCTGCTGCTGCTGCTGCTCATGGTATCGCATTCCCATTGAGATTCTCCTCTACTGGACAACACCGCGCTCTTGACTCACGGGACATCCAACCAACCAACCATATCAGAAGAAAAGAGAAGAGAAGAAAAAAAATACCCCCCCACCAGGGCAGAGACAGCAACCCCAAAATAATCCTCAATACCAAAACTCGCAAAACCTCAGCGGCATATCATATCCAACGGTTCCTCAGAAAAAACTCCCTTCCAATACATATTATGCATAGAACGATATCAGAAGAGTGCAGACTACCCCCTGCCTCTCCACTCCACTCCTCAACCACCCTTCCCCCCCCCCCCCCCCGCCACCCCATACCGCCCCTCCCCCTGTTGATATTTCTCTAACCTAGCCCAAAACGCGACAACAGTTTATCATACCCAGGACTCACCTCGCAGGGCACCAACCACCAGGCACCGAGCACCGCCAGGCAATCATCGTACTATTATTAGTGCGATATTACGAATGGTATCATGCAAAAAGCACGAAGGCTTCCCATTGTGCTCCAGTGCGAGGAGCTAAAGGCACAGGGCGATACAGCCCGCTCTCCATCTTCCCGTTTTACAGCGCTGGAAGAGCGTGGCCTTGCCCAGCATGGCTTGTGAGAAGGAGCAAGGCAGATGGCAACGGTGTCTATCGTACTATACCAGATTTGAAATTGTGAATATGATGGATGGGTGGGGCATGATGTGCCAGACGGCAGATGCGGTTGTGGGGTTTCCCTCAACGTCCTGCCCCCCCCCCAGATGAAAGGAAATTTACTCGAGTGGAGGGAGAGAGGGGGTGGGCAGGTGATGGTGATTTTTCAGGCACGGGTAAATCTGATAGCTTGGATGGTGCGATGGGGGGAGGAGGGCAGGGGAGATAGGGGAGATAGGGGAGATATGGATCGCAGACACTGGCACTCCCATCTCCTCTCATCTCCGGGATCGGTAAAACGTATGATACCCACTCCATCACTTGGTGCAAATGCAAATAACCCCTTACAATGGCCCATTGCACTCGATCTGCCTTGGTCGTACTGTACCACTACTCCCAATTATCTGAAATCCAGTGACGGAATGGTAAATTGAAACATCACATCACATCGCATCGCATCAGAATGTTCACATGCAATCACTCGCTCAATTCGACATGAAAGATCCCCCCATCCCCATCCCCTTCCACCATCAGTGCCGTTCAATCCTCCCCCCACACCACCCCTTCCTTTCATCACCCCTCTTCTCTCTCCTCTTGCCCTCCTTCTCCCCTGGCAGCAGGTCTTGGTACACACCCTCTCATTACACGCCTTCCTACCTATTCGAGCCGAATATGCAATCCGATAAGACATGATAAATACATCGGCGCTTCCAGGTGTCAGGGCAACAGGGGTCCGGGTAACGCTCGGAGCTTCGCGGCCACTTGTAGCGTAAAGTATCATATTATACTCGTACATCGCACAGGTCTTGAGCCCTACTCGAGACGTCGGCCCCCAAGTGGGGGCCGAGAAAGCCGAATGTGGAAACTCCCGCATCCCTCCGAGCGGATCATTCCCTCCGATTGACCCGCCGACGGAGGAATAATGGGTAGAAAACAGAAGAACATCTAGATCTGGTGATTCGGAGTGGGGGTTGGCCGTGGACGGACGAGGAGGTTGATGCTCGAACGGAAGGTGCAAACTAAGTTTATGCGGTGGACAAGCTGGGGCGAAAAAGAGCAAGCGATTGTAAGCAGGGGGATGGATTTGTTCACACCAGGTCCTGTCAATGAAGGAAGGCTAGAATTCTGGTATTCGGTGACAACTATTGGTGCCGAATTAGCACACTTAATGTTTCCACATCAACTATATCAGTGGATCCTGAGAAGGATAAAGAACCCACAAAATTTAATGAATTCAGCATTGTCCATCCATCTATCTCTAAAACATCACAACGTAACAATTTTGGCATCGCATCACATCCCACTCCCCCACTCCGATAGCCATCCAAGACTTCATTGTCATCGTAGCAGTCCTTTAGGATACATCACCAACACTACCTCTCTCCCCTATTCCCCCGTCCCGATCTAAACCTCAAGATTAATAGCCTTGCCAAACTTCGCATAAAGATCAACCTTAAGACTGTTCATAACTCCCTCATTGGCTTCCATCTTCTCCGCGATCTCCTCAACCTCCTTTCCAACCTCTTCCTTGCTCGCTTCGAGCAAATGCATAGCCTCTTCGAGTGGAAGATGGAAGAACGAGTCGCCAATTTTGTATCTAGCATAATCAATCAGAGTTAGTCCCGAAGATGGCTGGTGTTGATAAAGGGGTGGGGGGGTGAGAAACGGTATTAAGTCATCCTCATCCGCAAGTTCTAGTTCGTTAGAGACGTCCTCGATGTACTCCTTTTCTTGCTATCCTCCGGGGAATCGATCGGTCAGCTAAAAAAAATAAAAGAAACTCCATCCCACCAGGCGGAAAGTTCAGAACTGGGTGTGGGGAAAATACGCTCTTCTTCTCGAGTTCGTCTTTCAAAAGACCCTGCTTCTGATGCAGCGTTGAGAACTTATTAATGCGGTCTTGGTCCTCCCGGGTTACTGTTACTTCGGTGGTGGATTCATCCTCACGAGAGAGCTTCCCAACGAATTAGCTGTCACTACCATTTTTTCTGAGAGACTGCTGTGGGAAAGTAGAAAGAAGGTTCACCATTCGTCGATTCATAGCTGCGGTGGTTATGAGCAAGTGAAGTGGAGCTTTACTCCGTTCGTTCAGAAAACTCTCTAATAGATCTTCCTTAAGTGGGGTTTGCGAGTCTGGATAAAGTGGGATGGTGTATGCACAGACCCTTACCCGCAGAGCCGCAATGGCTGCCGCAATCTGACGAAATCACAAGCATCTCACTCTCTTCCAACAGTTTGCAACTACTCCGCGAGCGCCGATGGAATACAATTAATTAAGCATTAGATAGATTCAATACCGGTATATGCCTCCAGCCATTACCCCGCCCCCTCCGCGCAATCAAAATGCTACAGAATCTGGTATGTACCAAACATAAGATAACACCATAAAACAGAAAAGTCTAATCCAATAGAAAGTAAGACGCCACGGCCATCCCTCGTACAACCTGTGGAAGTTCTCCCGATTCCATGATATCATTTTTGTTCACTTTTTGAAACTGTCCTTTACCACCAATCGCTTACTCTGACTTGACAGGGCCACTAGGTCCATATATGAGCTCTGTTCCAAAGACTTTGTCCCAGATCTTGCTAGTAACTCCAAAACCCTTCTGATAATCTGCAAAGTGATGCTGTAGGTGATACTTCTTGAGTTCGCGGTAGTATGATGGAAGGCTACTCCTAATATCAGCGCGACCCGATATGATACACCAAAGGCTGGAAGAAGGAAGCATACGATTTATGATGTAAGAAGTAGTGGGTAAGGTCGTAACAGATGTAGCCAAAGATGCCGCCGCAGAACACGTTAGTACCAACATACCAGTTGAAAGCGAAGACAGTATGAGCCAAGTGCCAGAAAGGTGTAGCAAGAGCTAAGAAGAGTGTTGGCGGCATGACGAGACGAAGTTTGTCCATGGGAAGATAGTGGTGAACGCCATGGAGAAGAAAGTGCATCGTAATCGCTACGCGATTGTCGGGCATTCTCCTAGATTCCATGAATAAATCGCCTAGGGAAACTTGGGAGGGTGCAAATATACTGATCAATATGGAATAAACACCTATGCAACATATACTCAACTAAGGTCCAGAGAAAAAGTCCAAACCCAAACAATCCGGCTACGGTCCAAGTATTTGGTAGCCCCTTGCTGGCCTCGTACGTCCCGTAGGCAATACAAGGAAGCCAAATAATTGGCACAACATACCACGGCGTCTTACTCAGTGGCTCCAAAAAATTCCCAAACAACGGAGCTGACTCTCCACCCTTGTAATGTCGAGGTCGGTGAACTTGCTGAAGATAGAACTCCTTACTGAAACCTCCATTCCACACCTGCATAAACAAAGGCCGATTGAGGTCAAGGAACTTGTGTACCTTATAGTCTGTCGAGATGTCGGTCGGGATTGAGAGCTCTTCTTCTGAAGACATTCCGGTCAATGAGCTTGTGACGGCGGGGGTACCGGGAGGAGATGGCGGCCTTGGGCCCTCTAGGAAGCCAACGAGGTACTCATCGAGAATTTCGTAAGCAGATTCCGAATGTGTGTGGGAGATCTCATCAACGAGAATCTCTGCGATGTCCTTCCCGGCATAACTATGAAACCCCTGCGTCAGAATACCAATAGCTATCTGCGAGAATTACGACAAGAAGTTTACCCGAGAATCAAATCTTCACCGCCAGGATGGTCTCCCAGGAACGGCGTAATGTCGTACACTTTGCTGCCAATGGTCACATAGCATGAGGAAGCAGACCTGTGCCCCTCGAGCTGGGCAGCAGAGATAGAAAGGAGCGATTTCGCTGTCGGCATCTTTTAACTTTTTTCCGCTTTTGCTGTGTTCTGTCGAGAGACGAGGAAAGAGTAAAGAAAGAGCGATGAACCGATGGAAGATAAGGGGAGAAGTAATTATGGAACTGTGGTGGTGTTATGTGGCGTGATTGGTAAACCAGCCACACCAACCCGGCCCGGCCGCACACTGTCCCGCATCTGATCCCATGGGGCCAGGCACTTTAGGACAGAAAACGGTCGCGGAAGTTTGACAGGGCCGGAAAGAGTGGTCTATTACCATGGCCCACCGCAGACTACTCGTCCCGATCCATAATCCTTCTACAACTAGCCTCCGCGGTGCGGGAACCCCTGGATCTCTCTCGAGTCGGAGCTCGGCCCATACATGTAATCAACCCGAGGGGACCTTCTAGACGGGGGGTCAGACATGAGCTGGCTCCTTCGAGATGTCTACAAATCAACTTCCCATATGATACTATGACAGTATAAAGATAGCCTTGCCAAATGATCAGGTGGGTAGAGGTCAATATCCGGATTCAGAGAGAGATTCACTGAGCTCCCACTTGTGATGGGAAGGTTTCGTGACGAGCCTCCTCTGGACCACACGGTGCCGGGTGTCTAAGATTGACCCGGAGTTGAAATCAACAACGAACGCTCAGCAACAATAAGACTTTGTTGAGAAACGGAGTCCGCAAGCAACTGAGAATTAGCTCTTCTTCGATCCCAGAAACTCTGATCTTTTTACAGAGAAAGCGTTGGCGGAGAGCGGTGGGGTTGCAATTTCAAGCAGAGGAGTGAGGGTCCGGTTTGTGTATTACTAAGCAGGATAAAAGGGGGTCATCTATCAGCTCCCCCATCGCCTGGGTCAGTCATTTTTCCCTTTTCAGAACGATATACCGGCACTCAAGCACCAGCAATAATGCTATACCGGTATTATGAATACCTTACTTGAGTTATAGGTAGGAGAAAAAGGGCTAGTGTGATGTCGTATATTACGGTATTTGTATGGATATAACATTGATGAGAGACCGTACTCGTAAGTTATATAAAAGTTGAGTTTTAACATTCTGTGTGAGGCAACAAAGAATCAATAGCTGCCAATAGAACCATAAAAATCTATATAAAATCATCGTAAAAACCGGTCGTGGGAAGCTGGCGGGTCAGTGTGTTTGGGGCACTACTTGTACTCGAGTACACTGCTGACACTGACAGAAAGCTGTTGTTTTAGGGACGGGACGCCCGGTTCTTGTTGATAGCTGACCTCCCAAGTGGCGCGGCTACTCCAGTAGGCTTTGTCGTTGCCGCCAAGACATCTCCCCGTTGCCAATACAAACAAACCCGACTCCAACCACCATGCTCTGTATGGAACATATCTCACGATCCACCAGCATAGTCTGCCACCAACTTCCTCACTGAACCACCAGAAGCCGAAAAAAATGGGCATAGTCGGGTATGACCCGCTCCCAACCTGGAATTGAAATGCGGCTAACGAATTTTTTTCATAGACTATATCAAGAGCTCGGCCCCGGTTCACGAGTCTCCCTCGCGAAACTCTCCGCCGACCACTACATCAGTACTGGTCGCCGTCTCCGTCTCGCGGTTGATGCTTCAATATGGGCCTTTCAAGTGCAAGCAGGAAAAGGTATTCCCGCCTCTTACTATCATTCTTTCGCCTCGAAGCCGAACGGGAGGGAGAAAAAAGCGGGAATTACTAACAAGGGAACAGGAGGAAACAATCCCGCATTACGAACCCTCTACTACCGTCTGATCCGCCTCCTTCACCTGAATATAACCCCCCTGTTTGTCTTTGACGGCCCCAACCGACCCACCTTCAAGCGGAACCACAAGACCAACACAACCATGACCCCAACGCTGACCCGCTCGACAAAGGCCTTGCTAAAACTTTTCGGCTTCCCGTACCACGAAGCTCCCGGAGAGGCAGAAGCCGAATGTGCAAATCTGCAAAAACACGGCATAGTCGACGCAGTACTCTCCGAGGACGTGGACACCCTGATGTTCGGCTGCGAGGTCACGTTTAGGAACTGGTCTGGGGAGGGTGGGAAGAACAGGGCTCCTACGCACGTTAGTGTTTATGAGAAGGAGTGTGTTGAGGCTGTGAGCGGGCTAACACCTGAGGGCATGGTGCTTATTGCGCTCATGCGCGGGGGGGATTACTTACCTGAGGGGGTCCCCGGGTGTGGGATTAAGATTGCCGCGAGCGCAGCGAGGGCGGGGTTTGGGGAGCTCCTGTGCGCGCTGGATGCACAGGATGAGGGGGGGTTGGCGGCGTGGAGGAGGAGGCTGCAGAATGAGTTGGAGATGAACGAGAGTGGGTACTTTAAGAGGAAGAGTAAGACTGTGAGGATTCCAGAGGGGTTTCCAGATATGACCGTGCTTGGGTACTACAAGAAACCTATTGTCTCAAGCAAGGAGAAGGTAGAAAGACTGCGGGATAGCATCTGCTGGGGTGGGGAAATCGATTCCTCAGGGCTGAGAGAATCTGCCCGATGGGCGTTTGAATGGCGTGGGAAGATAGGCGCTGCAAAGTTCATTCGCTGCCTAGCTCCCGCGGTTATGTCGTGGAATCTCTGTACACCCACACAGGACGTTCGGGAGTTAGTCTCCGGCTTCCACGGCCGAAGAGAGCACTTTTCCACAGGGGAATGCAAAGAGCTGCGAATTTCATTCATCCCAGGAAACGTTGTCAAAGTCAACATGGACGCCGAAGCCGATGACGATGTAGAGGTGCAACCTGACGACGACGATGAACTCACCCAAGACGGCGAAGATGGTTCTCGTAAAACAAAAGACTACGACCCATACACCCCGGAGCGAATGTGGGTACTTGAAGTGTTCGCCCGCCAGGGCGTCCCAGATATGGTGGAAGATTATGAAAACCCAAAGCCAAAAGCCAGAAAGACGACCACGGCCACTACTAAGAAACCCCGTCCGACAAAGTCTAAAGACAAGCCGGTAGAGGCCATGGACACGATGCTAGAATACCTTACGATCTCCAAGCCCAGCAAGCGACAACCAACCCCGTCCAAACACCTCCAAGGATCCCGCTCTTCCTCTTCCCCCACGCGATATACCCAGAAAGAAGCCTCAGTAGGCCTCGCATCACTAACTTCCTACCTCTCGGCCCTTCAGATCCTCGAAGATGACGACACACCTGCAGATCCCGTATCGTCGCCTGCTCCTTCACCAACACTTAAACGGAGTCTCTGTAGACAGCCGCTAACTTCCAACCCCTCAACTCAGAACAACCACCCACCCCCACGCGAACAGGAGACCAGTCAGGAGCAAGAAAACATCTGGACCGCTCCCGCATGGCCCTGCGAAACAGTTGCGTTATCGCCACCACGGGGGCGTAGATACTCTGCACTAGGTATCTACGGAGTAGCGGCCACTCCACGGGCCGTTTCTCCCGCGGTGGTGGTTCCATCGCCGGATGAGAGGATCAGCATTTCTCTCCCCTCATCACCGGAATCCGAAACCGTTCCTCGAAGGAGGGTGGGCCAGCGTTGTGGTTCTACGGAGAAAAGAAAGAATACTAGTAAGGGGAAGACACTAGTGAGTATTGTGGATATTAGCGATTCCGAGGGTGAGAGCGAAGTACCTGATCGGAGGGCTTGTCCCCCACTGTTGCTGTTGGGGGGTAAGAATGAGAAAAAGATTGTCGTGAATCGTAGGGGGACCAAGAAAGTTGTGTTGAGGACTAGCGTTGAAGGGTCTTGGAAATTTGTTGACGACGAGGCCTTAGATGTTGGTGGGGGTGGGTGGGCGGATGTCGAAGTTATGGATTTGACGAGGGCTTGAGTTATTGAATGAACGAAAACCTTATGTGAAGATGAATACATGGCATGTCACTCGGTGTTGGTCTCATGAGAGTTTTTGTCTGTCATGAATTTACTTTAGTTTTGATGTCAACTTACCTACCACCATAGCGAATTCGGAGCTTTGGGATTTTCTTTTGATTATTATCTGTTATTTCTGTGAATTTTTGTTGTGCTTTACATACCTGTATCTATCATAAATTTACCTACAGTTGCAGCATCTCTTGGTGCATGGATGCACAATACAGCACCATCCTATCTTGTCCCAAAGTGCCTTTCTCGCCACCCCAGTACAGTACCAGCGGTTAATCCACATGCTGGCTCTGTGCCTCTTGGGGAATTGGTGGTTTGCACTCAGGGTATGTGTCTCCATGTCTATGCCCGTCGAATTTGGTCACATATGCACTCGGTAGGCGCATTGCGGGCGAGTCGGACCGTAATTCAGAGTTAAACCTTGTTTATCAGTCTACCCATCGCGCACTACGCATGATAGGTTGGGTGGTTATGCTACGATAGTTGGGTGGCAAGGTGAGACCGGACCGTAGCCTCGGAATACTATATATCTTAGGATGATACAATACAGGTCCTAGGTCCACTTGACCGACATGCCACCAGAATTACCGTATTCTACGATATCAACGATCGCTAAAAAAGTCCTGCCCCATAATAGCATTAATCTTAACCTTCGGCCCAGAACATCGCTGTGGATATCGTACTAGTCCACAGGTCCCTGGCATGAATGGACTGAACACCAGGGGGGTCGTGGGAGCTGAAAGCCCTTTGGCAAGAGCACTAAATGCCCTGTGTGAATGACGAAAGTGGTTAGTACGAAAGTAGGTAAAAAGGGAGGAATTCAATGAAAAAGTTGATATTCTTCGTAAAGTACCTACGCAAAAGTCTTGGTGATCGTGCATCTTGGCCATGGTAACAATGGTCCAGTGTGAGTAGAGATTTTGAAATAACTCAACAACAAATCTTTTAAATGAGAAGGGATTAAAGGAAATAAAATGTAAGACTACTATTTACATATTGATGAAATAAAAAATAAAAAAAGTTATTCCTAGTATCTTGTATACCACCCCTTTGCTGCAATAACTGCTTGAACTCTGTCTGGCATTGACCTCCACAACTGCTCAAAAAACCCAGAAGGTATTGTATCCCATACCATGGGTAATACCTTAGCTGGCTTCTGCTTGACCTTCTCAGGACCACCAGGTGTTGAAGCAATGTCAGGATACTGAATCTGAAGCCTTTTCTTCAGCTCAACCCAGACATGTTCTATGGGATTAAGGTCTGGTGAACAAGGAGGGTGTTCAGCCAACTCAATCCCATTTTGGTCAAACCAATCTTGTACTGTCTAAGCTGTATGAACAGTGCAGTTATCTTGCTGGAAGATAGGATCACCAAGGGTGTCACGGACTTGCTCCAAGACTAGAATAAGGCAGGTTTCAAGCAGCTGGAGGTAGACCCACTGGTCTACTGATTTCACAACTAAGAGAACAAAGGTTCCCCTGTTTCTGCCCCAGAAGCATCCCCAGACCATCAAAGAAATCCCCTTTCCCTTTTCTATCCCTCTCACACAGTCTGGATGCCACTTTTCAGAAGCAGATCTGAATACCCATTTTTGCTTTAGATTCCTACTCTTTTCCACTGAGCATTCATCACTCCAAATAATACCTTCAAACTCCTCTGTAGTCCAATTCTGGTACGCCTTAGCCCAGGCCAGCCTCTTCTGAGTATGCTCTGGTGAAAGCTTTGCTCTTTTCTTGGCTAGCCACTTCTTAATGCTACTCTCCCTGAGAGCCTGATCCATTGTAGAAACTGAGACATTGGGAACCAATATCTGCCGCAATTTCTCCCTACTCCAATCCCTGTGGAGCTTGGCCTCTTGAACTAATAATCTCTTGGCTCTCTGAGAAAGCAGGGGTGGTCGACCAGAATGTGGGAGGTTTTCAATTGAACCCTGCTGGAGAGACCAGGTAAGGAAATTCCAGACTGTTGACCATGGGCAGCCAACAATTTGACTAACTATTGAAATTTGCTGAAAAACCTCAAAGAAAGCAAGGATTATACCTTTCACAACTCCAGTGAGCTCTTTGCGTGATGTCTTGGGTGCCATGGTTGATGTAGTAGGGAGAATTTGATTGGTCACTATTGTGGTTGGGTTGCCTCACCCTCGCTTACCTGCCTTTTTCACTAAGACTTTTGCTTAGGTACTTTACTAGTACCAAGGTTGCAGTGCTAGCACTCTGCAAGCCCTAAAACTTCACTGGCTCAGCTTTCGGGGGCACTCATCCTAAGTACCTGACAGCTTAATGAAAGATTGCAGCTTAATGATAGATTGTGGCTCAATACAATTTTGTGGCTCAACACTACATTGTGGCTCAACATGAGTTTGTAGCTCCATACAATTTTGGGACTCAAAAACAGTTCAAGGCTCAATGATAGTCTATAACTCTATGATAGTCTATAGCTCAATGATAGTCTATAACTCTAGGATAGTCTATAGCTCAATGACAGTCTATAACTCTATAATAGTTGACAGCTCAATGATAGTCTATAACTCTATGATAGTCTATAGCTCAGTGATAGACTATAACTCTCTGAGAGTTTATAGCTTAATGACAGTCTATGGCTTAATATAATTTTGTAATTCAATACTATTACTTCAAGATATTATAAATGTTCTAAGTATAAGGTAATTAAATAGTTCCATGTAGTATTACTTTGAAAACCAAACTCCATCATCTTGACCTCAAACTCCTTTCACATATTAATCAGTTATGTCTTCTTCATCTACTCTCATTCCTCTAAGTCAACGTGTGAAGCCATATCACAATATTGAAGTTCAGATCCAGGCTGCAATTACCTTCCTCTGTGAGACTGGAGAGGATACATCCAATATTGCTGCACTAGCTTGCAGGTATAAAGGTCCTGAGTAGCGATTATGCAAATAGTGGCAAGGTCAACAATCGAGACAAGAATACTCAGCAGCCAATCGAAAACTCACTAAGGACCAGGAACTGGCTGTTTGTCAATATCTGAATCATTTAGATAATATCGGTACCAGTGCACGGTTGCCAATAGTTACTGGAGGTGCAAATACAATTCTGCTAAATGCGTATACTGGACTACTTCCTCTACCTACTATGAGTGAATATTGAGCAATAAGATTTCTTAACTGCTATCCTGATTACTTTATCTGAAAGTAGCATATGATTGATATTGATCGAAAAAGTGCACACCATCCTGATAATATTTGTCAATGGTTTGACAAATACAATACTATATGTCAAAAGTATGCGATTCACGACTGTGATAAATACAACTTTGATAAAACTGGTTTTCGTATCGGAATTGGTAGAAACCAATGGATTATTACTAGAGATTTAAATAGACAGGCATACATGGCCAGTTCAACCAATCGTGAGCTGGTTTCTGTTTGCTAAATGATTAGTGCTGCTGGATTTGCTTTACCACCTATGATTATCATTCTAGGAGTTATTTATCAGGAACCATGGTATACAACAACATCTATACTTGATGACTACCTTGTTGGCACATCAGATACTGGATATAATAATGATTATCTCACAATGGAGTAGGTTCACCACTTTGAAAAATTCTCCTCACAACACTAGGCTAGCACCTACCGACTTATCATTCTGGATGGATTTGGCTTCCATTGCACCAAGGAGTTTCTCAATTACTGCGATCAGTATCAAATCATTGTTTTTTGTCTCTTCCCCCACATAAGCCATCTTTTACAACCTTTAGATGTGGTTGTATTTCAGCCATATAAGCATTATCATGCTGAATCAGTTGAAGTAGCCACTTGTACTGGCTGTGGAGATTTTGATAAATGTGAATTTTTAGACAAAATTCACTTGATTTGGGAGCAGACCTTTAAGTCATCCACTATCATATTGGCATTTCGTATGACTGGTCTTGTTCCATACAATTCCAAAGTTGTAATTTTCAAGTTATGTGAGGTAGCTATTCCTGCTGTCCCACCAGTTACCGAACTGTTTGAATCCTCTACAACTATTCCTCTTACAATTACTTCTCTTAAGAGAGCTGGAGATGAATTACAACAAGAGGCTGGTAATTTATCACCAACCTTTCGGAATAAATTGAGGAGAGTTCTACAAGGGGGATTAGCTCAAGCCCAATCTGGAGCCTTAGCAATACTAGTAGACCATTTAGAACATACACAGACAGCTGAGCAAGCTGGAAATGCCAGATGTAGGGTATAGAGTTGGAGACAGATCCAAAAAGGAGGAGTTATATATGCTTCACAAGCACGAAAAATGGTCAAAAGGAGGAAAGATGCAGAGGTTGAGAAGACAGAAATACAATTATGCAGAGTACAGAATGCTAAAAGACGAGTTCAGCAAGCTGAGCATAAGATATTTCAAAACAAGTTAAAGGCACAGGTAAAGCAAAGAAATCTGATATATACTTGTAAAAAAAAAATATCAAAGATGATAGTTATAGGTATTAAACACCAGGTGAAACTGGGAAAAATCAATGTAATATAAAATATTAACTTATATTCAAAATAGGTATAGCTTTACTCTGATGTTATACCTGAAATGAAAAGTAGCTTTAAGCTACAAAATTGTATGGAGCTACAAACTCATGTTGAGCTACAATGTGGTATTGAGCCACAAAATTATATTGAGCCACAATCGATTGTTGAGCTACGATCTTTCGTTGAGCTGTTGGGCACTTGGGATGAGTACTCCTGGAAGCTGAGCCAGGGAAGTTTCGAGGATTGCAGCATGCTAGCGCTGTAACCTTGGCACGAGTATGACTTAGATATGTAAAAACATTGGAGTAAATATATATGAAAGATTAAAAAATATGAAAATAATAATGAACAGAAAAGATCAAAAATTAAAAATTACTGGAAGATTACCTACAAGTATAGTCTTCAGATAATATGATAACAGCTTGTGTTCTTTCAGGCATTAATTCAACAAAGATTAAGAGATGTGCTTCTGAAATTTTAACCTATCTCTTCAATAGGACTTCTGCCATTTCCTTCAATCCTTCTAGCCATAGCTACTACTTAGCTAGGTTATCTTTTAAGATAAATTAAGCATTTTCAATTGGGTTGGGATCCAGGAAGGATGGTAGCCAGTCAAGCTTCAGAATACCATACTATTCTCATATCTACTAGGTATGATATTTCTAGTAAGTTGAAACTCTACCCTCTATAAATGAGAGAGCATAAGCAGTATGTTTACTCTCTTGCTTTCAAAAATATTGAAGTACTAGAACTAAAATAAGAATATTATCAATATAACTTTTAGAAGTTGTACTACTTGAATGGTTCTTACCTTAGAAAACTGAGTATTAGGATAGTTCTCTTGTCTTTATTGTAACAGGTCATGATACTGTTCTGTAGGCCATTAAGTCTTTATGCTCTAAGAAATGTCCAATATACTCCTCTATTAGACTAACTTGCTAGTAGGACTTGGTTCTTTACTAAACACTTGATTGTTAACTTTGGATATCTTTATTTAACAGATAAAGTAGTAAAGTATAAACATACTACAAGAATGAACTATGACAACCTGGATCGATACCCATACATGAGACTAAGAGGTCAAGTTCTAGAGCCAGCTTGAGGTAGGCATATCAAGGATATGCCTTAGAAGATATTTGATAGCTCAGGTATCTTTATAAGAAGGAGCTACTTACAGGAAAGATGTACTTAAGTAGAAGTAGTAATATGACTATAGTGAACTCTGGCCCATGGTTTACTTATTTGTTTATTCATTTGTGCCTATAATAGTTTTCCAGTTTCTATATTAGTTAGTTTCTCCTTCTACTAGATTTTTAGAGTAAACTTTAGTTTTTTATGAAAGTAGT